TGCTGGCATGGGATTCGGTGCCCAAAGGTGAATATGTCTGCACTTTAGATAGCCTTTTTTGTTGCCCAACTCTGTCACAACTACAGAATCTGAACGTTCTTTTAAATTTTGATATAAACTTGCCTTTACCTCACTCAACTTGTTTCTTGAGTTCTACCTCTCACAATGAACCCCTCTAACTGCAATTCTACATAATTGTTCTATACTGCTTCTTTAGACCTTAGAGTTCAAGGATAGAGCCATATATCAATGTATACGTAATGAGAGCTATTTTTCAAATTATATCATTTATTAATTCCTACCCACATCAATTATAAGTCGTTGAGGAAAGAAAAAGTAATCAACAACTTTTTATTGTGGATATATTTGACTATGTAAAGTAAATTATTTTTATCTAATAACTTTGAATTATTGTAGCCTGAACCCACTTCAAATGTGAAAGAAAGAATTAAATAAATAAAACGTTGAAAAGTAGATGAGAAATTAGCACTTAGAATGTCAATTTTTTGACAAGACATGATCTTGTCATATTTGGTGAAACCAAGCCAAAAACGAGATGTAAATGTAAAACATCACACAGTCAAACACGGACAGAGATAATGTTGCTTATTGGGACATGGTTATGTGGAAAAATCATAGTTAAGAAAAAAGACGGCTAGATGAGGAGATTTAATCTAGTTATACATGATGAAATTAAGTTTGAAAGAATCGAGATTCTTTTTTCAACTCTTTTTTCCTTATCAATGATTGTTTCTTCAAGCTTACAATTGTAAGAACAAGAAAAATGAAAACGATGTCAACAAGTTAGGGCAAAAAATAAAATAAAATTAATGTTTCCTGTTCCCAAAGGCACATAGATTCTTCCCAATACCACCTAACATTTCCTATTAATATAGAAAACGAAATAACAAAATTCAACCCAACTAACATCTGGAGGGAGAAATAGAGATAATATGCACAATTAAAAACTAACGAATAATAACATGCAACAAGTCACAAATTATTATATCTAAATAAATTTTAAAGTCAGTTTCATTCAATTGAGAAAGAATTTTTATTTTAAAGCAATTCATACACATATCATAAATATGCATCATACGCATGAAGTTTGCTCACTGGACGTTAGCACAATCCATGTCACCCTTCCCATTTTTCAGATAACAAAAGCAAGATAATTCGATACAACAACTTGTGGTGAGAAGGACTCAATATTATCATATTTAAATTTAGAATTTGTTTTGTAAATAAAGTTAATTTTTAATTTAATTTACTTATATTTTTATAATAAGTCATGTTTATTATGTTGAAGAAAAATTAAATCATCTCTTCGCATTTATGATTTTAAGAGAAAATTAAATTATAATACTTTCAAATCTAGATATCTAGATTTGGAGCTGTTACAGTTTCACTGGTTCGAGAATATTAAAATTCATTTTAGATGTACTCATAGCCTAATGTAGCCTAATGTTGCTTCTAGATGTGATGCATGCATGCTACATTTTCAGTTTGAGTACGTTGTTACTAAAAAAATATTGCAGTAAATCCTAAATTAATCATTTAATTATAATTGACTTTGTGGTTATCTCATATTTATAGTTCTATGTTTGAAATAATAATAATAATAACGAGAAAAAGTTTGGCAATTTTCAAGAGGTAGTTTCAAGTATTTATTTTATTATTAATGATTAAAATAATAATTTTTATTAAAAGTTAAGTTATGCATGTGTATTTTTTGAAACTAATTAATAGATTATTTGAACGAAGAAAACTTTGTCTCCATTGAGATTTTTTATTTTATTTATT